AAATTATATCTTTTGATATATATATATATATATATATATCACTCTTACTAGCACTTGTGATTTGATTTTTTTAAGATTCCTCTCTCTCTCTCTCTCTCTCTCTCTCTCTCTCTCTCTCTGGTTTATGTGCGAATATGGCATATTATGTCGGTAGCTGCAGGAAAACAATATTTTTTTTCAGTTCAGATTTTTTTTTAAGTAGCGTATTGCCTTCTTTCTTTAATAGGCATGCATTTTTCGATAACCAAAATATATTTATACATTAAATACATAAGCAATAGAAACTCTGTCGATTGAATTTCACTAATTTATTATTTCTTTCTCTCTCTCTATCTATCTATATATATATATATAAGTATATATACATCCCAACACCCACACGCGAGCGATTTATAAGCACAAAAAATAAGTAAATTTAGAAACAAAATATATATTGTAAAAACGACATTCTCAAATTTTTGATTATTTTCTAATACAACTATTTTCTTAAATCTTATAAAACTATCGATTTTATCTATATATCCATATAATAATTGTATGACAATGAATGTATTTTTCTATGCAATGTCGTTGACAAAAAATTTGAGTCGTAGTTACAAAATGAATGCTAGTTTTAACAGAAAACAAGAAACATAAGGTTATATATAATATATTAAATAATTATTTGAAATTATTATATGAATAAGAAATAATAAACAATTATTGAATTAGCATTTAAACATTCCATATTGTTTGTATGTGATTAAAAAAAAAATGTTTTTGTTGACATATTTAATGTATTCAATAAAAATGTTATTTTGTTATTATTATGGCTTTCAAACATTTAACATCGTACTAATGAACGTAAACATTTAAATCAAGAATTAAAGTTGCAATTGAAAATATCTCAAACGTTGATGCTCACTGCTAACGCAAATGCAATTCCCACTTTCTTTATCTGATATAAAATATTTTCAAAACAATGTTTGGTGATAAATATTAATTTGCATAAATTATTATAATATTCTTATAACATTAAATTATACATAAAAATATTCATGAATGCACATGTCATGAGTAATTTAATTTTTAAACATCATAAAAAAATCTAGTTTGACTTTGGAAATTTGTATTAAATATTTTATTGTTAGCATAATATTTACATCGTATAATTAATTGAAAATGTTTTATTTATAAAAATAATATAAGAGTGGCAATTCAATGGCGGTCTTTTATTCGAAATTGAAATAAGTATTTGCAGTGACAAATTTTAATGCTAGTTAATCATTAAGTAGTTCGGTAAATGTTTGATCAGACACTTATTTTGCCCGCAATGAAATAGTTTAATTGCCGACGATCCCGATACTACAAAAGCAAATAAAATATAATTATAGCGATAATTCACTAATTCTCTTTCCAATCATTCATAATATAAAATAAAGGCATCAAAACAAAGTTCTTTTTAAATCGTAATCAACGCGTACTTACATCGTACGTTTACCAGTACCTCTTCGAATGATATATGGGCGATGAATTTTTATCACATCTATTTCGGACATCGCATCTAAAATATCATTTCCCAAGTAATAAAGAAATTTTTATAAAACGTGGTTCCCTTGGAACGAGGACGCGGAAGCGACTGTGAGCCGATCCGTCCGTTGTCGCAATTTAAACTCAATACCTTTAATCGCTAACAATTATTCCTCACGTACATTGTCATGGGATCAGGTTGTAAAGTGACTTTTTCCATTCCCTCATCCCATTTTCCATCGCCTCCCTCCCCCCTCCGATTTCGTGGCCCTTTCTTACACAGTTAGTGGATACAGGTACCGAGAATACGATACAAGAAAACAGCATAGGAAATGAGAAAATAAAGGATATTACGGCGATGAAGTGGCGGAGGAAGGGACACGCACGTCCTTGAACATATGAACGCCTCTCAAATAGATGCAGCGAAGACCAAGTGAATGAGGAGGCCTTCAAGAGTCGCTCGTACGCACAATGGGGAATCGGGTAGATATATGCGCGCACGTATATGTTGAAGCGCAGCGCGAGGAAGGTGTCGAAGACCAAGTGAATGAGGAGGCCTTCAAGAGTCGCTCGTACGCACAATGGGGAATCGGGTAGATATATGCGCGCACGTATATGTTGAAGCGCAGCGCGAGGAAGGTGTATAACAACGTGGTCCCCGTCTCTGTCTCTCTCTCTCTATCTCTCTCTCTCTCTCTATCTCTCTCTCTCTATCTCTCGCGCGCGCACTCGCACGCTCGCTCTCGCAAAAACTCGCGGCGTGCCTTATGTCACGATCTCGCGAGGCGATAAATCAACGAGCGAGGCTCTCCAGCGCTCGGGCGACACGTGAGTCGTAATATTTAAGTTAATAGCATGGTACAATAAAGTTTAATGGCTTTATGATAGCCACTCGGGAGAGGGACACAAGCCCCAGAAAAGAGAGCAAGCGCGACGTCGGCGTCGGCGTCGGCGTCGGCGGCACTTGCCGACATTTTGGAGGCCCATCGCGCACCACTACATTCGGCGATGGGTGTGCGCGCGCGCGCAGCCAACGCCGTGCACCACTTTCCTGGCTGTTGCACTTTGTTTAGTAGCCCTTGGCCGCGCGGAGACCGCGAGGAGGCCGCGTAAGCGAGGGGCGGGCTTCCTGTATCTTTAAAATCGCGCGGACTTTACGGCTGCGCAATAAAAGCGAGCCGAGCCTCTGATGCCACTTAATTACAGGTAACAAATGCGCCGAAAATATGCCGGGGATTTAAGGATTCGCGATGATTCATTGGGCTTTTGTCGGGGCGAGTGCCGCGCGATTCAAGTCGCGATGAAATTGCTTAATTAGGAGAGGACTTGGCCAGGGACTCGCTCCCTGCGCAGAAGGAAGTGCCGATAGTTGTGCTGCATTTCGTTTTTTTTTTCTTCTTTCTTTTTTTTGTTTTGTTTTTGTTTTTGCTTTTTTTCTTCCTCTTCTTTTAATTGTTTGTATGTTTGTTTGTTTCCATTTATTTTGGCTTTGTTGATTTATCATTGATACAATCGCCTGTCAATTATTTACGTTACTCTCAGAGCATTAATTTGGGAAATAATGTTAAAATAGTGCGTACACAGGACGAACGAGACGTTTCCGAAAACGGCGATTTTCAAGCCTATCAATTCTTATTTTATACGTTTTTAATATTATTAATGCGCTGAAATATTACCAATAAAGTTTGTTGATCAAATGCTACATAAATAAACCAATTACTACCTGTTTAATTTTTTACGCACTTATTAAAATGGTACTTAAATTGACTTTTACAAACTTATTCGTTTTTCAGGTTCATTATAAAAAGGATTTCATTTATCAAGATAATCGAATATATTATTACGTACATCCAAGCTTAATATACTTTACTTATACTTACAATATTCAATATGATAAAAGAAGAAGAAGAAGAAGAAGAAGAAGAAGAAGAAGAAGAAGAAGAAGAAGAAGAGGAAGAAGATGATGATGAAGGATAAGGAGAAGGAGAAGAAGAAAGTGAGCAATTATATTTTTATAAATCATTAATAATAAAATTAATTTTAAGGCGCTCGATACTTGAGATTTACATTCATGACAAATAATCGTAATTCGATTTTTTCAAATAATGCTACATTTAATTCCCAGTCGATTATTGAAACTTTGTTAATTAAATTGCCAAATTTTTGTATGCAATTTCAAATTACTTTTACATCATAATAGAGGTATTTCGTATTGCAATTAATTCAATTAATAATATTAATTCAATTGAAAAATTTTATAGACGCACAGAGCCCTTATGAGAAAAATATTATTAAACTTACAGATTAATGATTATTATAACAAGATATAAGTGTAAAGTTTTTGATTGTTTTTTGAATAATACATTAATTATTACAAAATAAAACTGTTAAAGCCCGAGAAATTATCGTGGTGGTGTCGTTCGCTTCTTTAAAAATAGGCTTAATTAGTTGAAAAAAAAAAATTATAATAATAATAACAATAACAGTGATTACAAAAGCAAGAAATATTCGTGATAAATTTTTGCTCTGTTAGTTTACCGTCGGACCGACGATTGCGTCTGTACGTATAATTTTCATACTTCCACTTTTTATTTTTAATCCCACTACTACTTGATCGTGCTTTTTATATTTGATACGTATATGTTAAATTAGTTTCTAGGAATTTTTTAGAAAACTATTGCTCTCTGTATTTAAAATATGGTGTCGGAAAAATTCCATCGCCTCTATTAAATAGAATAAATTATATTTATTTTCGTTTTAAATATTTAGCAGACTGGTCTACTTAAATTTTGTTAAAATCAATCGATTCACTCGAAACAAAAGAATAAATTATTGCAAAATTACAATTTATAATACCGTTTATGGATTTTAGTACATCGAGTGTAGGATGTATATGCTTTTATTACCATGTACAAATAATAAAATCTCTAAAATTTTATTACCAATATAATAAAAAGATAGAAAGAAAAAAAAAAACAGGACTTTATCTTAAGTATTTATACCCGCGCGTGCACACACGCATGCACGCACGCATGCACTAACGGACGCACGCACGCACGCACGCAAGCACGCACACGCACACGCACACGCACACGCATTAATCAAACAATTTTTAATCTTAAAATTTTATTTTTTTGAATGCTTAAATGACTTGGTAAACAAAAAAAAAACTTCACATAAGAATTGAAATGCATATTACTGATGTTAAAACAAATATAATACATTTTTCAAAAAGATATTCAAATTATTGACATTAAATTGTAATAAAATGAATGATATTGCTAAAGAATTAAATTATTAATAAAATTTTAATTAACGTACGTGCAACGTTTTGTATAATTGTCTATTAGACAAAAATGAAGCTGCAGATTGTAAATTGCGGGGAATAAAATTTTCAATAAATATATTTTTATTTTTGAGAGAAAATTCATTCGCATGTCCCATTCGTTCTTTAACGGAAATATAAAAGAGTAAATGTGTTTTTTATTTACCTCGGAGACTTTTCGAAAATGGTGGCAATCCGACGGTAAGAATATCTTTGCACCGCATATGGATTCCTAAAAGAGAAAGACAAATTTGTTAAGGTCTTTACGATTTATCATACATTAAATATAAGATTAAATAGTTGTATAAATATTTTATTTAATTTTTTTCACGAATCTTCGAGTGATTTTTAATAATATCGCGTTAGCAGATATTTTAAAAAATCGTATAAGAATAATTTAAAAGTCATTCACACGATTCATTAGCTCTCTCCGTCGAAGATATAACAATAATAATTCCTATTATTAGACGTATATTTTATTAATATAAGAGATTTGGGAATAAAAAAAAAAGTTTCTATTTCCCTAAGGATAATTCAATAAGCATTATACGGATTTTTATTATTGTTTATTAAGTGTGTAATTTTATAGCGATATTATGATTATTCTTTTGTACATCTTAAAATATAATATTTTTCAAATTGATTATGAAAGTAAGAATGGTTTGTTTCTCTTTTCACTTGCAAGAAATACGAGTATATTATCTTCCTTTCTACGCCTACTAAAGTTTATAGTTTAAAAATGATATATCAGAAAAGTCTAAAATAAAACTTGTTATCCTCTTCTCAATAGCAAAATTAAAAGAATACCAGCACCGCTAGATTTAATTTTATTTATCTCATGCAGATACAACCCATTAAGTTTACCTAGCGATTACTATAAATTATGCCCTAGGGAATAATATTTTTATTCGGACAAAATATTTTACAATTGAATTTATAACATAATTAAAATAAGGGGCGGGGGGGGGGGGGGGGGGTGGGGGGGGGGGGGGGGGGGGGGGGGGGGGGGGGGAGGGGGAGGGGTGGAGGAGAGAGAGGCTATCATAAGCACAGAAGTCTTTGCTGCTGAAAAAGGGGAACTAAGAGGAGATAGATAATAAGATAGTATCACTTGAGAGGAGTGGAAAAACATCTTTTATACGAGGTTCGCCACAGCTTTAAGTCAACGGGACGATGAAAACAAGTAAAGCAAATGGAATTTGCAGCGATCCCAATCTACCTGGCACGTACAATCATCAAACATCGGACAATGGCCCGTAATTGGCAAGAAAAACAAAAAAGAAAACGAAGGAGCGAGAAAAAAGGAAGAAGAAAAAAAATTATAATACTTTTCAACCGGTGACCAACGTCGCTCGGCCGTGGGATGGGCGGGGACGGAGGGGAGTTTCGGAGCACCGAGATTGAAGTTTCAAGCTCAGGACGAGGAGGATCCCGAGCTAGCGCCACTAACGCACCGCGTTCCATATTCATAGTAGCCTAAGTGCGTTTATTAGCGATACAATGGCCGAAGCCGGACGAACGCAACACCTCGTAAACCGCGGCAGGGCCGGCTGAGTCGAGGCTACGTGTTGTGTCCGCGACGAGATCATCGCCTACCACCGACTTTTATTCCCGTCGATCGAAGCGCCGACGGCCGACGGATCGGCCATAAGCGTCGCTCCCGCCGTTAGCGAATCGGCGGCTCTCACCGACGGCCAGCGAGCTTTTCTCATCTCCACGGCTCACTTCTTCCTTCATACGTCACTTGATTCCGCTTGATTCTCGAGGCTTTTGCGGACGGTAGACGGGCAGTCGTTCGTTCGTTTGTTCGTTCGTTCGTTCGTTCGTTGGATTCAAAAGTCGGAAAACATTTCGATTCTGTTGGAGCGGGTTTGCCAACGGCAATCACGCGTTTGTTCAATTTTAGATCGCAACCTCTACTCCTTCCCCCCTGCATTCCCAAAATACGTCATTTTTAATTGCCTGCGAAGAGAAGTTTTCTTTGTTGGGACGATGTACCTTACTTCGCAATGTGAAAAAAGAAAAAAAAAAACAACGAAAAGGAGGATGAAAGGAGAGCGACCTAGTGTTTAATGCCTCTGTTTTTGTAGGATTATGTAGTTGCGCCTAGAAATAGAAATTTTTCTGAATATTTTCAAAGCCAAGTATAAATGCTTTGGGAAAAATCGAGAATTAAATGTCTCGGGCTTGAAAAATATGACCTATCGGATAATCCAATATCTTCAAAAGACATTTACAATTTGTACGGAAAAGTATGTTTGTAAATATATAACACACATACGATACGTGTCGAGCTATAATTATAATCAGTTATTTTTGAATATTTTCGACCTTTGATTTGTTATTTTTAAGCTTGCATTAAAAATTATCATTAACTCGAGCAGAATACTAAGTAGAATGTGTGGTTCTCAGTGTTTTGCAGTGGATAGTTACAGAGCACCGAGTGACGTACTTTTTACATAGATAAATAGCTACCGAGTGTCGTGCGATCATCGTGACTTTTACAGAAAGGTGAAAGTTGAGATTGATTGTGAGAAGAGAAATAAAAGAGAGAAAAAAATGTAGACTTCTTTTCCGTTTATCTCCCCAAATTATTAATTTGGACATTACAATAAACTGCATGGCCATATTGATTCATCGTTGATTAACAACTATTGCAGTGAATTAATAAATTATGATTTGTCGAATAACTAAATTAATAATAATAATATATATGCGTGTACGGATATAATAGATAGAACTCATAAAATTTGCTACTTCCTTTACATTAGATACAATTGAGAATATTAGAATGATAATTAGTATTGGCTTAAGTATTCAATGGTTATCCATTAATTTGCAAATGTTCTTTCATAAATTTTGTAACAAACGCTTACTAAAATAACGTCATTAAGGCACGATTTCTATAAAAGTAAATTATCTCGTATTGCAATTTAATTTATGTTAATAAACATTGTAATACAGTAAATTTCAATTTGATAAAATCTGAATTTAAGATAAAAATATACCAAGTAGAGTCGACACGA